AGCTCGTCCCAGCCCGCTTCTTCGGCGAGAATGCGGAAGTCCACAGAGTGATCGGCCACAGATCTGCGTCCTTGGCGGAGAGCGATAATTCTCTTTGATGCTTCCTCCTGCTGGAGGGGATGATTAAACACACGCTCAAACTCCTGGATGAAAAGCTGGGAAGTGAGTGTTGACAGAGAGTGGGACGCTAAAAAGGCTTGTGCCCATCTTAGCGCTTTTCCTTTTAAAGCAGAGACAATATAAATAATGCGAGCTGAATTGGATGGAAACAATGAAGGTGAGCGAGCAAAAGCGAGTCGGCATTGTAACAAAAAACCAGAGCAATGATTTAATTCACCGTCGAATAGTTCTGAAGGTCTTAAATCTGGTTCACGAGGGATATGAGTGGATTGAGTAGGTTGAAGGTTTACATTATGAAGGCTGACAGGCGGGTTAGGTAGTAGTGACGAATATCAAGCATCTAAATCGGCTAAACTCTTTGTCACCCGTTCTAACACGGAAGAAGTTTCTTGTTGAGCATGACATAACCTATTTAACAATTCCTGATGGTCTGCCAGGAGGGAATTGGAGGAACTAGCCGTCTGGTTGTCAGATAAACCGCTCTTTGACACTTCTTGTGGCTGATACATACTATCAGGTTTTCAGGTATAAGTCAAAGAGGAGCAGGTTTATCAGACAACAGACACGGAGACCAGATAAAAGGTAAGTGTTATTTTATTTACAGGTGGTAGGGATATGTACAGGGGATCCAGGCTGCGGAGGGAAAGGGAAGGAGGTGAGTATCCAGGTAAGTGCTTAGGCTGAAGGAGGAACTTGAGATATAATAATAATAAGAGATCTTACAGTTCGAGGAGGCGARCGACACGTGGAGGAGAGGGTTCAAATCCGAGGTAAGTATCCAAGGTGAGTACTTTTCAGGTAGGTGAGTTCTCAAGTTATTCACAGGTGAACGTTGGAGGCAGACAGACAACAGCGTTGGTTTTCTGGTGAGTGAYGTTGATAGAGGCRGGTGGTTAACAGGTCCAAGAGTCCTGAGGATCTTCAGGCAAGTTTCACTGAACACAGAGTTCACAAAAAACACAAGGTTAATAGTTTCAGGATCACAAGTGTAAGACTGGAGGCTGAGATCATTACCCATAGGAAGCGATGTATCAGCGATGACCTGCTCACTGGACCCGCCTTAAATAGGAAAACCACCAGGAGGACTCAAATGAGTTGCAGCTGTGTCAGTGCTGATCCAATTAGTGACAGATGCTTCAATTTGATGGAGAAAAGGCACAGATCTCATAAGAATTTTTTCTTCTTTCTGCTGCCTTTCTTTTCATTTTATTAGTCATATGTATTTTATTATTATTATAATTATTATTATTATTATTATTATTATTATTATTATTATTATTATTATTATTATTATTAAGTGAAATGAAATGAATAAAACTTAATGAATGAATGAATGAAAGTGTTCTATTTAATCTGGGATTTTTTCTGTGATGCTTTTTTTACCTTTTACCATTTTTCTCTTAGTAATAACAAAGCACGTTGTTTCCTTCTCCCCTCCTATATGATCCAGAAAAACTATAACAAAGAGTTTCACCTCCTGGCCACAGTGTTTGACGAGAACCTCAGCTGGTATCTGGATGACAACATCAGAACTTTCACAACTGCTCCCAACACTGTCAACAAGGAGGATGAAGACTTCATAGAGAGCAACAAAATGCACGGTGAGTAAAACAGATGCGACATACTGTGCTATTTTTATCTGTAATATTTCTGTAAGGTAAATATTTTTCCATGTCAAGTCCCAGTAAAACAATTTCTAAACTGATCGTGTTTGAAATAAATCGCCTTTTTGTTTAATCTCCGCGTCTCTCTTCTAGCCATCAACGGGTTTGTGTTCAGGAACCTTCCGGGTCTGACCATGTGTAAGGGGGACAAAGTCACGTGGCACCTCTCAGGGTTGGGCTCAGAAGCAGACGTTGTCGGCCTCTACTTCCAAGGAAACCGGTTCCTCTATCGCCAGAACAGACGAGACACCATCAACGTTTTCCCTCACATCTCATACACTGTCTCTATGGAGCCGGACAGCATGGGTAGGTTTTCATTATGACCCCCCCGTCTCCCGCAACGAAGCGGGGGTCCCATTGCTTATTTTTTATTGTATGTTTTTCAAGATATTTGGTCAACAGTAGCACAAAAACATCTGCACCAATCAGCAATGTCTGTGTCTGACCTACACTGAGCCAGCCAACAGTTTTACGATAGACCCCATATATGAGGTGGGAGCTCCATTTGAAAAGGGGGAGTCTGGACATACAAAAATGCTTATAACTCAAAAACTATTCAACATAGGAGCTTCAGGTTTTTTGTTGTTTAACTCTGATGAAGGGCTATCTATTGGGCCCACCAATGAACACCCTCACCCCCTCTGGACTCCCACCAAAACAATAAATCTGCTCTGGTGGGTTCTGAGTTCTGGTGCATTGGTGCTTATATTTCAGGGCTTTCCAACTAAATTGCTCCGGGGGCCACAGTTACTGCCGGTCAACAGCTGAGGGGCCGAACATCCAGCAATTAAAGTTATTATGTAAATAAACCAAGTATTACAAAAATATGTTACCTTTGAATTAGTTTATTTTGCTGCATTTAATCATGAATACAACATACAGAGCCCTATAAAAGTAGTGATAATTACACATCATCAAAAATAAAAAGAACACATTATGTCTCCTATTAGACACAAATACGTGTCCCCTGTGAGGCACGGTGGCTCAGTTGGTAGAGCTGATGCCTCTAAGAAAGAAGGTCACCGGTTCAAATCCCGGTCCGGGGACCTTTCTGGGCAGAGTTTGCATGTTCTCTCCGTGCGTGCATGGGTTCTCTCCGGGTACTCTGGCTTCCTCCCACAGACCAAAAACATGACTGTTAGGTTAATTGATAACTCTAAATTGTCCCTAGGTGAGAGTGAACGGTTGTTTGTCTCGTTTGTCTCTATGTGTGGCCCTGTGATGGACTTGCAACCTGTCCAGGGTGTACCCCGCCCCCTCACACTGTGACTGCTAGATATGGGCACCAGTGACCCACGCAACCCTGAAAAGGAAGAAGCGTGTACAGAAAATGGATGGATGGATTAGACACAAATAATATTTTGACATCTCTGACTTGCCAAACTTTTAAACCAATTTTATTTTCACTTTCATCGTTTTATCTTCAACAGTTTGTAGTTTTAGCTGTCTTGAGTGTTTATAGAAATGTTTTTACCAGCGTCTAGCCAAGATTCTGATGTTTCTGTAGACACCAAACATGTCTATGTTTAACTAAAAGAACTCAGAGTAATTAAAGTAGAAAACCAGGGTTTGGGCTGAAGAGATGAATGAACCAATTGGCGGGCCGAACTTTGGTCACTCGTGGGCTGGATGTGGCCCACGGGCCGCCAGTTGAGTAGCTCTGTTATATATGCTACCGCTGTACGATATCTAGTTTTCCTCTCAGGCTTCGTCATATACACTGTGCTACCAGTAAAAGCCCTCTGACCAAGTTCTGCTATAATTTAAGTGTAAAAACTAAACTTGGTTGTGATGTTCATGCATTTCAGGTCAGTTCGAAGTGGTTTCGGCCACGGTGGATCATTACCGAGGAGGCATGCGAGCCAACTACACGGTAGAAAAGTGTGGCTTGTTCCAGCGTCAAAGTGAGGTGATGCTCCATTCTAAAACCTACTACATCGCCGCCGTGGAGGTCGACTGGGACTTCTCTCCGAACCGCACCTGGGAGGCAGAGATGTTTAAGAACAAGGGAGAGAAGTAATGCATAAAATTACGAGAGTAAATGTTGAAATTATTGAGGGTAATTCTATCAGCAGAATAACACATTTTAGTTTTTGATGATATTTCTAACCAGGTTGCAAAGCTATAAATACTGATTTAAACTGCAAAGTAGATGTCATATACAATACAGCAGTGAGGGTTTAGATTTATTAGACTTAAATAATTATGCCTCAATATCATTTTGTTTTAATTGTACATTCCCTTACAAAAGTGGGGCGTTTTAAACATCATTTTCTGTCTTGCTGCAGTCCTGCCCTCATCTTTTTGGACAAGCGAGATGGTTTTATCGGCTCTCAGTACAAGAAGGTTGTCTACAAACAGTTTACCAATGACAAGTTCACCAAGGAGGTGGAAAGAACACCTGACATGGAACATCTCGGCATTATGGGTAAAAATAATGGCGGCATGTTTTGTGTTTTCAGTTTAAAATGTTTGATAACTTTAGTGGTCATGATCTATTTTGGTTGTTTGGCTTATCTAGTTTAGTTCCTTAAAGGGGCAATATTATGTGTTTCTCAGGCAGACATTCAAATACTATACCATAATAAAGTAGCTATGTCAACTTTAGCTTTTATTAAAATGCTGTTTTTATGTTTAAATAGAAAATAAACTTATCTTCTCATCACTTCCTCTTCTAAACGCCTTGAAATTGGACTCTGTCTCTTTAAGAACCACCTTCCGCTTCTGTCCCGCCCATTTCAGTGTGTGTGTGTGTGTGTGTGTGGGGGGRGGGGGKGSGCTCTGCCATGAGGAAGTTTGGCTTAAAGACACGTCCCAGGGGCGTTTCTGGTCCCCACCTGTCGTTTTGCTCCTCAGCATGGCTTCCTAAAAACGCTGCAGGATTTCTCAACCATGCATGAATGAGTCAAAGCAAGGCTTTGGGCATGTTTTTTATGAGAGTATAACATTATAACATGATATAAAACTAAAAAAGTTGATTTTACATGATATTGCCCCTTTAACATCCACCTGCAGTCTTTTTCTGTCTCTGTGGTACTTTTACATCACAGTAGGATTATTTTCACGAGATGGTTTTGTACTTTAATGTGTATTCATTAGGTTGGTTTGTATGTTGGATGTCAGATTTATTTGTATAGCTCATTAAAAACAACAAAAGTTGATCAAATTGCTTTACAGTTTAATCAAGGACAAATTAAAATAAAAGTAAAATACAGAAACACGCAATAAAAAAAACAAAAACAAAAAACAAACAAAATAAAAAATGAAAAACCCTGAAACAAACAAACTCTGCCTCAATCAAAAGCCAAAAAGAGAGAGATGGGTTTTCAGTAAAGATTGTTTGTTTGGCCTCTGTGCAGATTTTAGAGCAATTAATGAAGTTTTTCTCATTTAAACAGAAAGTACTGTTTGCTGTTGTATGGCTTCTGAAAACTCAAGTGATAATAAAATAACTTCCCTTCCATTTTAGGTCCAATGATTCATGCTCAGGTGGGGGACAAAGTCAAAGTGGTTTTTAAGAACACTGCATCCAGACCTTATTCCATTCATGCCCATGGAGTGAAGACAGACACTCCTGATGTCTACCAAACCAAACCAGGTACAGGGATGCCTGAAAACGACAGAAAAACACATTCAGAATCAGTTTTGTTTATTTTTTAAAAATGTATCATGGTCACATTTTATAATCAACACAAAACAAAAAGAGACGAGTTAAAACTTTAAATCCTTCACTGCTGATCGACAAAGTTGTAACTTAACACAGTTTTCTTGACAAATGAAATCCTAAGAGGAGCTGCGTGTGTGTGTGTGTGTGTGCAGGTGAAACTCACACATACACCTGGTACGTCAACAAGAACACGGGACCGACCCCGGAGCAGGAGGAGTGCTCCGTTTCAGCTTACTACTCCACCGTCGACGTCATAAAGGTGGGCTAATAAAACATGAAAGCAACCAGGAGGGGTCCAGACTGACATGCTGTCACTCTTCCTCTCAGGATCTGTACAGCGGTCTGATTGGTCCGTTGGTGATTTGTCGTCGTAGCTGGGCCAGGTGAGTGTTTTATTTTCTGCCCTGACCCACCTGAAGCTGTAAAATACACCCCCCCACACACACAAACACACATTAATGTCTAATTCACACTGAACACAAAAAGCTCTGACAAAACTGTTTTGTTTCCAGGAGCTTTGGATTAAAGAAGGAAGTGGAAGAATTTGCACTGCTTATGTTGATTTTTGATGAGAATGAAAGCTGGTAAGTGCAAGGGTAGTGTGTTTAGGATTTAATTAGCACAATTATAATTATATTTTGATTCAGTACTATTAAAATAGAAAACTTAAAATACCTAATATTTACTCCTGCAAGGCTTAAACTCTTTTCAGTATTAAGACATCCTCAGTACACCCCAGTTGTTATTTTGGCTAAATGCATATAAAGGGTCTAATGAAAGCACAATATGAAATGACAGTTCTATAAACAAGCAAAAAAGAACCACAGTGTTTATGATATATTACAGGTATCTGGATGAAAACATCAGGAGACACGTCAGGAATCCTCGACCACACCTAAAGGAAGACGAAAACTTTATTGAAAGCAACAAAATGCACGGTAAGACAAAAACTCACAACATAAACCCACATAGATGTCCATGGTATATTATACTAAATTAAAAGAAAAGTTGAGATATTTATTAGATTTTTTTAAAATCAGGAAGTCCTTTGAGATTAACTTTTTTTTCTACAAAGATCGAATGATGAAAGACACAAAGTTCTGAGTTAAAAATGACAACATGTTGGAATTAACATAAGTCCAAAGTCCAGCTTCAGAACATAGCATTCTTCAGTTACAAAAGACTTCAGAGCTTTAAACATTTCCAAAGATAAAAAAAACTTTAAGCTTTAGTTTTATCTGAATATTATCCCATGACCAAGATGAGAAATAAGAGAAAGTTGTTCTTCTAAGTTGAGAAAAAAAGTCCAGGGGCCTCATGCATAAAGGATTGCACAGCTTTCACACTAAAAGTTGGCTTAGGGAAAATTTTAGAAAAGTGCGCCGCACCAAAATATTCAGATGTATCAAACTGTGCGCACACAGGTTCCTGCGCACCTTTCCTTTATACATCCCAATGAACGTGGAGCTGAGCGCACGTGAGACACCTCCCCTGACACGCCTCCATTTAAATCTGTAAAATAGATGTAAATGTGTCCAGCGTGTGAGATTCTCCTCAGCTTGTCCTCTCTGTGGGATCAGAAATGATTTTAGATGCAGGAAAATTATACATTAAATGGAGAATGAGTGAGAAAATTGTCAGTGGGGTGTAAAAATGAGTTTGCCACTCGCAAAGGTGTGTGTGGGTGTTGGTGTGTACGCGCGTGCGCTGTTATTTTCAGCGGCGCATGAGGCTGACAGACATTTCCACCTTTACACGTCTTTAATAAATGACTGTAAACACAGAGGAACTGATGAGTTTGGTAGAACTTAGAAAAATATTTATTAAATGTGAAGAAACGCACATTTCCTACTCTTGTAAAAAAAAACATAACAACGTGCCCGTACTCCTCCGCCTCATCTTGTAAAAAACTGACGTGCTGGGGGTACCCGGCGCATCAAAACTGGATGCAAAAGGCTGCCTGACCAAGCGTCAATATGCTGACGCAGGGGGAGTGAGAGTGCAGGACTGGGAACAGCTGACACTGATCCATACACACAACTTTACGCAGCAATCTATTGTGTCTTGTGGAGCTGAGGAATCATCACAGCTGAGCTGAATTAATCTTCTGAGTTGACGTTTTTTTCTCAGTGGAAATTAAAAATGTGTCTTAGACAATTCACACATTTTATTCTCCTCAGCTGTGTGCGCTCTGCGTGTGTTTCCAACTACATGACAACAATATAAAAAGTTTACAGTTTACAGACTGGACTGAGGTTCTTTGATCATGTTTAGACTGATCTATTTTCTTGTCTGAGGTTAAATGATTCTCAGTCCCGGGGTTCAGTTTCATCATCGTTCGAGTTTAAACAATAAAAACTAAAATAAAAATCTAACACCGTGTTCAGACGCTCCTTACATCCAGAAAACACAACAGAGTCATACTTCTCTGGATTCAGGTCAGATTTGTGACTATGTGAGTTAAAACTGTCGACTGAAACACTTTGCGTGGCTGCCGCACATTCTCACAGCAGGTGAAAAGTGTGCGTAAATATACGCACACTTTCACTTTTAATACATCACAACGTGGGCGTAGAACCTGACGCATGCAACTTTTTTTGTGCGTACGCACCGTTTATACATGAGGCCCCTGGACATTTTAAATAAGAGCCTCACAACAGGTCTTTAAACATATTTAACCACTGCACAGATAAGAGGAGAATTAAACCAATATACATTGCTTCTTATGTAAAGTTAGTAACTGCAAAGAAATATATAGATAAATCCCTTCATTGACTGAAATATAATGTAATATTATTTCCTATAAGTTTGTATTTTATTGTTTTAAGGGCAAAAAAGGCAATCTTAATGCCAAACATAAAAAATGACACTAAAAGATGATACTTTTTAATATATTTTTCTGTGTGTTTGTGCGCAGCCATCAATGGTTACGTATACGCCAATCTGATGGGTCTGAACATGGAGGTGGGCGATAAGGTGTACTGGTACCTGATGGGAATGGGCAATGAAGTGGACATACACACCGTGCACTGGCATGGCCACAGTGTGGAATATAAGGTATAAAATACTGTATGAAGCTGACAAATACTGACAGTCTTACAGTAACAGTTACATCACTTCAAAAATAAAATGCTTTACATTTTTTTAAAATTTACCCTGCAGCTGGGTGGAGGTCCTCATCGTGTTGACTCATATGAGCTGCTCCCAGCCACCTTCCAGGTAAAACCTCAACAAACTTTATCTCTTATACGTAGATTTTTAGGATTTAGTCTCTTTTTTTTCTGTCCACAAAATGAAAAACAAGCTTCTATTTGATATAACTTTTATAAAAATGACAAACATAAAATCTTACGTTTAACAGAATAAGCCCTCAGTGATGATGAAGCAAACTGAAACATACAGGAGATACATATGTAGAGATGCTATAAAATCTTAAGATTTGATTTCAAGTTTTTTAAAGTTCAAATTGAATTACTTTAAGCAAATTAAAATGAAAAGAATCAATATGACTTTGTTGTTTTTCCTGTTCAGACGGTGAAAATGCGTCCTGAGTATCCCGGGACCTGGCTGGTCCACTGTCACATCTCTGACCACATTTCATCTGGAATGGAGGCGATGTACACCATCACTGAAAAAGGTAAAGAACCAAACTTTAACTTTAAACACACAAAAAATAAAGGCAAAGATAAAGGTGATGTTTTTTTTAGATAAAAAACTTTTTTTTTCTCTGTTTTTTTCCCCCCATATCAACAGCAAAGAAGAGCGGATTCTTTGGATGAACGGACAAAGAAAAGAAATTCAGAAAATAAAAAAACAAGTCAAACAGATTTATCAACACAATTTACTGAATGTAATAAAAAAAACTTGTGTCTGAAACTGGAACAGAAAGATAAGAACCATATTTTAAATGAAAAAAATTACATTTTTAACAATCTGCTTTCAAATCATTAACTGCTAACATGCTGTTCAAAATAAACAATAAAAACCTTATTATTTGGTGTAATTTTTAATTAATTTTTGTAAGATATAAAAGCAACGGGCAGTGAAGGCAATAGAAGAAAAATCACGCTTGTAAAAATTAATAAAATGATAATTTAAATGATTTTCAGGGTACAGAATGCTGAAGGATTAAATTAAAGTTTCAAAAGTGTCTTGTTTTCATTTATTGTTAAAGGACTTGAACGTAACTAGAATAATTGCTTATTGCTCTGAAAGCTAAAGTTCAATTACGAATGTGAAAGAAGCAAAAAAAAAAAGAAGCTTGAATTAGCAGAAAGAAGCTGCAAAAAAAGCACAAAAATAGATATAAGCAAAAAATATCAGAAAGTAGCAAAATTATATCTGAAATATCAGAAAAATGAAATGAATGAAATTAGTAAATAAGCAGCTGAAACATGCTAAACAAGGCTAATATTAGCTAAACTGAGCAAATGAAAATTACCACACAGATAGTGGAGTGTAAAAGAGTTCAAATCAGCAGAAAGAAAAGAAGTTTAAAATGGCAATTTGTTTTAAAATACCTAAAACAGAAAGCAGCTGAAATTAGTAGAATGCAACTGAAAAAAATACAAAGATTAAATTAGTTGTAAGAAATGGAAAAAAGCTCAAAAAGTAGAAATTTGCAGAAAATTGGCTGAAATAGCAGAAAAAGGCTAAAATTAGCAGCAAAAGGTTGCAGAAACAAATTGAATGTAGTACAGACCGTGTTTGTGATGTAAAGAAATGTCAATAAGTACAAAAATGTCACTATATGTTGTACAACAGCTGAAATAGACAAAATGTGCAGTAAAACAGCTAAAATATCTAAAATGCTGAAATTAGCACAAAGAAGCAGATGGAGCATTTGCTGAATTAAGCAGAAAGTAGCTAAAATTTGCCACCAAATGTCAAATCACAAAATGTGAAATCTTGAAAAAAAATAATCTTAGCTACAGCTGAACAGTAACTAAAATTGCAGCAAACAGCTGAAATAATCAGAAGGCAACGGAAAGAAGCACAAAGAGCTAAAATCACCAGAAAGAAGCACAAAAGCGTAGAAATTAGCTGAAGAATAGCAGAAAGTAGCAGAATTTCAGCTGAAATAGCAGAAAATGCTATTATTAGCAAATAAAGATAAAATTAACACTGTGATGTTTCAAAAAGCATAACTAGAACAAAATCATTTTGAAGGGTTTTAAGGATGTTGAAAACAGCTCTATTCATTTTCTAAAAGGTAAAACTGATTAAAAAAGTATAATTAGCTTAAATGCTAAAAGTCATAGACACAAAGTCCTGAAGGAGCTGAACGTTTTGATTTCTGAATTGTTGAAAGTGTAGGGATCCGTGTCTCGTGTGCGGTCTCCCTCTTGTGTCCTCTCTGTGTCATCACTCTCTCATCTCACCTCAGTGTGTTTACCTGTCATGTGCCTCGTTAACCACACTCACCTGTCAGTCCTCTGTAATCAGGCCCTCCTCAGCTGCTGCTCATTATCCTCGCTGCCTCTGCTTGTGTTTACACTGCTCTCAGTTCCTCACTGCTCTCAGTGCTTGGATTTCTCCATCAGTCTTGGGTCCCCTGCTCCCTGCGTTCTCTGTCTCCCTGATTATGTAAGTTATTGCTGCCTCACAAGGTTTTTTGTTTTATTTAATCTTTTCTTTTTTGTATTTCTTGTGTCCGCCTCGTTGCGTACCTTAACAGAAATAGCACAAAAACTGTGGAAAATGATCGGTGCCAAAAAAAAGAAGTGTTGGATAAAGTATCACAAAGTGATACTTGAGTAAAAGTACAAGTATTTTACAAAAAAATTACTTTGGTAAAAGGAATTTTACTTGAGTAAAAGTCTTAAAGTATCTGATATTTTTTGTACTTAAGTTACTTAAGTATTAAAAATGAAAAGTATTGATTTAAAATGAGCAGTTTGATTTGCTGTAATGACATTTATTAGGAGGTGACCTCCTCAAAAATGCAGAAATTACTATATTATATTAAAATAATTAATTTGTTAAATTTAGGACACACTAGTCTAGCTGTTGCAGTTTATAAACATATATCAAGGCTGCACAAACCTTTTCTCCAAAATGAAAATCTGAGGGCTGCGGCCAAATGTAATAATATACTTCATGAAATACAAATACTTCTTAAGTTCAGTCCTTTTATTTTAATGATTATGTCCTGCTGGAGAGTGACATGATTTGTTTGTGTACAAACTAATAAAGTATCAGTATTTTATATACCTATATAAACTCACCGGCCACTTTATTAGGTACACCTGTCCAACTGCTCGTTAACACTTAATTTCTAATCAGCCAATC